CCCACGCAGGGCTGGGGGCGAGGGGGCCCACGCAGGGCTGGGGGCGAGGGGGCCCACGCAGGGCTGGGGACGAGGGGGCCCACGCAGGGCTGGGGACGTGAGGGGCCGGGAGGTGCTTTGCAGGTAGGGGATGTGAGGTGAGGGAAAGGGCAGGCACAAGGACAGCCTGAGCGCTTAGGCCATGAAATCAGCGCCTGTGCCATTCACTGATGGGCAAAACGAGGGGGAGTTGGGTCTGGGGGCATGAGACGGTCTTCCCCGTGGCCCCCTGCCCAGGCTTGGGTCGCTGTGAGCCTCAGGGTCTGCCCACAGTCACATGAGTCTGGCTCACAGCTGAAGTCAGATCTGTGCCTCCTGTAGTCCCCGAGCTCACAGAGCATTGTGACTCCGGTGGTACCCAGACTGCCCCACCCGATTTCTCCTCCTACTGACCCCACCACCCCTGTCTTGGCAGCTGTAAAGGACCCAGCCAGAAGGTGGAAGAGACCAGGGGTCACCCTGATTCCCAAGGGAGGCGGCGGCGGCTGGACCGGGAATCAAAAGGGGGACAGGTGTTCTACAACAGCGAGTATGGGGAGCTGTCGGGACCCCACGAACAGGGCGACCTCACCCTGGCCACCCACACATCCTTCTTCCCAGACAGCAGCTACTGAGGCTGCCCTGGAGAGGGCCCGCCCCTGGGCTCAGGCGGCGGGTGGGGGCAGCGCCTGGGGCCGGCAATAGCGGGAGGCGAGGCTGGGACCTCATCTCCTTTAGCTGGGGTGAGCAGTGTTTTCTCCGCTCTGCCTCCTTCCTAGCTGGGAAGTCTCCAGTGCTCCCCCAAAATCCATCCCACACCTGCCCAGGGCCCCTGCCGACCCAGGGCCCTTTCTCCCTTCAGATTCAGATTCCACAGTAGCCCTGGACCAGGCGCTCCCCAGGGCCTGCCTTTTTGTTTACGTCCTCCCACCACATTGGGGGGTGGTGGGCTCCCCTTTTTCTGATGAGGACGATGAGGATCTGCGAGTCCCCCTAGAAGCAGGTGGTCTCTCAGCCCTTCCTCCCCATGCTGTTGCCCATACACCTTTCCTTCCCACGGAGAATGGCTTCCTTCAACTGCTTCTCGGTGACAGGAGAGAGGGTGTCTCTCAAAGTTCCAGGGGCGGGGGCCTCTCAGGCATGTCCAGGCATGTCGGCAGCCATCTCTGCAGTGCTCCTTCTCAGGCACTGAGAACTAGTCAACAAACACTTTCGCTAGACCTTCAGAGACCATTTGAGCTGCGATGGAGAATTTCCTTTTCAGTCTGAAAGGAGTTCAGAATCTCTTTCTGAATCGGGATGATGATTCTTCCTCTGGCCCCAACTTGGATGCAGACTCTGCTGTTGCCACCTCTCTCTCAAGAAGGCCCCCAGCATTCCATCCTCCAGAGTGGAAAGAACCAGCTCATGGTCTCCAGCTGCTGTTTGAAAAACACCCGGTCCTTCCCTCCAGGACCTGGATCGGCCACCCCAGGCTCTTCCCAGGCATCGACATCCTTATGAGTCCACCGAGGAAGGCTCTGGGGACAAAGGCCCCACCCAGTGTTGCTGCGTGCCACGAGGCAGTCAGTGAACATTTGTGTGGCGCTGGGTGTCCTGTCTCCTGCCCCTCATCTGTGCATGTCACTGCCCCGGAAGGTCAAGCCTCTGTCCTCACAGGGAGCAGCAAAACACCCACTGGAGCCAGAGCCATTGTGCCCAGCCACTCCTCCCAGCCAGCTCAATGTCCAGCCACCCCTACCTGAGCAGGAGAAAGATCCTCGCCCCACTCAGAGACAGACACCCACCCCAGCCCACGAGGCGCTTGCAGGACAGGCGGCCATGTGACGAGCAGGGGCGTGACCCCCCCACCCCCGTGTGTCATCCCTCTAGGACACCTCAGATTCACGTGTGACTGTGACTCTCGCGTCCAGTGGACTCCTCTGATGGCCCTGGCTGTGAGCCACGGGTCCCAGGTTTACTAGTGGATATCCAGGAGCCCTTATCAGTCGAGCAACCTGGCATGGGTGCTAGGGCCCAGTGCCAAGCTTCCTCCCCACGTGTGTTCTACCCACCTGGGTCACCTCTCCTCCTATCCCATAACTGCACACATAAAAATGTACTGGGAAGAAAACCTGCCACCCCTTGTAGACGAAGTGCTCCCAAAAGATCTGAAATATTTAACAAAAGATAATAATAAATTTGATGCCAGTCTTTGAGCTAAGTGTCTTTTTAGATTTTCTCCTGCCTGATTATCAACTCCAGGAAGTCACTAGACAGGCCACACAAAGAAAAAGGCGGCAAGTAACCCCTGGGCCTGGCCCCTCATCTTACCAAGACCCAAAACCCTCCGCAGAGGGAGCAGGGAGGAGTCAGGATGCTGGGCGCTGCCCTCGCTGCCACCACTGGTGGCGCCTACCTAACGCCTGAGCTCGCCACCAACTGTTTGCTGAAGTGACTCGGCACTTTGTCCTCTTCTACCAAAGGCACATGCTGACCCAGGTCCTGAGCACCGGTGATGCACAGGTCAGAGAGCAGGGCCCAGGCTGGATCCGTCTGGCCAGCTGATCACCGTCACCACGTAGGTGGGACAGGACCGGAAGGGTGCAGGGCCACCACAGTTGAGTATGCACCTGGACTCTGACATCAGCTGTGTCTGAGCTGGGCCCCAACTTGACTCCCCTCCCAGAAAGATGCGCTCCAGCCTAGCACGCAGCCAGGCGCCCGCCGTCCTGCGGGTCTGTAGGACTTCCCTTCCCAAGGGAGCGGCCAGCTCATGGGGCCGCAGGTTAGGTAGGGTGTCACACTGTCTGATGCCCCCTCAGCAGGCTTCCTGGGGCTTGGGGCCCACAGCTTGTAGTGACCCCTGCACCCAGCTTGGGGCTGGACCCAGGGCAGCACAGGCACCCCTTGCTGGGGGTGTGGGGAAAGGAGCCCGCCACAGGCCCTGTGGAGCCCTGTCCAGGCCTTCCACTCTTCTGGCTCCTGCGCACACGCCCACAGCCCTTGTTGTGATGCTTTCTGTCCTGGCCTCATTCTTCAACTCCCCACAAAGGCAGCGAGTGACAGTGGGTTTGCTGCTTTTGCTTCCGTAACAAATCTGCACTGCAATATAGAAAAGCCGCACAACCTCCACATTGGGTTTGGACATTTTTGTTTTGTAATATCGTGGGTTGACTTTAACTCCTGACCCTGGGTAAAGGCCTCAGCGCTGGTGTCAGCCCTCAGGACTTTGGCCTGGCCACCCAGCCAAAGCATGCCCAAATGTGGTGGGCACCAGTGCCCCTCACTGCCATGCTCCAGGGAGGTGCTTTCCCACTTCTGGCTATCAGGATCAATACTTCTGGTCCTGGTCCTGCCTAGGGTCCCATGGCTGCACTGTCCCCAGGTCACTTCCCCAAGACCTGGAGACTCCAGCTCTGAATGGAAACTGCCACTGAAGATGTTTGTGGCTGGCATCTACCAGGCAACCACACACGCCCTGGGTCTCCACAGGGTGCCCACCCAACTGCCATTCCTCCTGCCCAATTCTACATCCCAACTTATTTCCTGCAGGGAGGGCGCCAGGCCCCTCAGTGCTGTTCTCCTGTCCTGCCCCTCAGCCTCAGGCCCTGTCAGGAGGCAGAACTCCTGGGCCCTGCTCAGAGCCACACATGGCCCTGAGACAAGGTAGGGGCATATATGGTTGGAGCTCAGTGCAGGAGGAACTGGACTAAGGGCCTGGTCACAAGGAGGAAGGGTGCCAGTGGGGCAGGAAGAGGTGAGGAGGAAGGGCAGCAGTGTCTGTTGTGGGGCCTAGGAGCGCCCAGTTAGGAATTTGTGGCTTGTTTTCAAGGCAGAAGGAAGTTCTGAGAAGGGTGAAGTGTTTGGACTTATATTTATGCACTGACAAGCGTCATCTGGAAGGGTCAGTGTGGGGCCTCCTGGGGTGTGGGCACGGCTGGGTGGGGCGAGGCTGGCTGCCCAAGGGTAGTCCCAGGGCCAGGAGAGGAAAGCTGGAGAGGAGGAGGTCTACTGTGAGCTGGGTCCATATCCAGATTGGATCTGTGGAAACAACTATTTGCTTAAGTATCCTCCACAAAAACCAGTCCTTAGACCTGGGCCCAGGGCCTTCTCATCCAGGACCCAAATTCCAGGGAAAGACCCCAAGACCTGGGCAGCACAGGGACACAGAGGGACACCAGGGTCTTCATGGCTTCCTAAGACATGGGAAGGCGCTGAGTCCCAGATGGAGAAGAAAGAGATCGGGGAAGGGAGAGCCAGCATTAGAAGCACCCGAGGCTGGCTGGGTGGATTGGGAACGCTGGTGTGGTCAGAAAGCCCGCCAAGGAGGAAGGCGGGGCGCCTGGCCCGTCAGCACCCACAGGCTGCCTGCTCTTGGTGCTCTTTGTTCTTGTGCGGGTGAGGAGAGCTGGGAAACGGCAGCACAAACACAGGCTACCCCTCCCAACCACAGGCCTCACCCCACCTTTCTGCTCCTCCCCGAGCAGGCCCAGACCAGCTCCTGAGTCCACCCAGGTCACCACAGGCCAGATACTCACACGTAGTTTCTGAAAGAGGATAGAAGATCACCGGCCTCTCCACACCAGCCTGCCTCTCCGGCCAGGACCACCAAACAGGGCCCACATCCGCCGGGCAGAGAGCCTGATGAGACTAGCCACTGGGCGCAGGCCAGGGGGAGGGGGGAAGGATGTGGTGTTTTGTCCCAACTTCTGTGACCTGCCGCAAGAAAGGAAGGCGGGGGGGCAGAAAGGCTGAGCAAGCAGAGTTTATTGCTCCCGGACAGCAGCTGAGACGGAGCCCCTAGGGTGGGGTCCGCAGCTACTGCCCACTCAGTAAGGGGGAAGGGTATTCTCTATAGATCTAGTTTCACATTCCAAAGGTGACTCATCGCTGTGTCCCCTGGTACTAGGTCCAGTTCCTCCCACCTGTATCTCCCGGATGCTATCAGTTTGTTATCCCCTTTAGCTAGTCCCATATCAAGCTTGGGTGCAAGGCTGAATTCTTTCCCTGTCAGTAAATCTTTGGTTCCCAACATGTGGCACGCTGAGTCTCAATGGTCCGGGACCAGGCACTCCCCTTTGGGTCCCAGTTTCTCCTTCATTACTTGCCGTCTTGCAGAGCTCTAGTAATAAGATGCCTCCTAGTAGTGACCATAGCAAGGAGGGAATCTGACCCCCAAACCATATCTTTCCGAAGCAACATTAAAAGCCACTGGACGGCGCTGTCTGCAGCATCTGGTGCTCCCTCCCCCTCTGCTGACTCACCCCTCCATCAGACACCCAAGGCCACCCACCCCTTTGCCCTTCCGTTTCCCCACCTATCCACATGCCCCTCCATCAGTCTGTGGGTAATAATGAGCACACACTCGCCCCTGCAAACGCCCCCAAGGACCGCAGGCAGACCTTTGGAGGCCGCAGCAACAGCACAGGAGCTAGGCCTTCCTGTCAGTGAGCACAGGCAGAGGGGACGGGAAGCCTACCTGAAGACTGACTTGCGTCAAAGTGGTATCTGGGGTTTTGGATCACCCTCTGTGGATCTGCTCCTCAATAATTTAGGAGCAACTGGCTGCCACCATCACAACAGGACATCCTAGAAGGCCCTAGGTGTCCCCTAGGGGATGGAGGGTCAGGTTAGCGAGGTAGTTAAGGTTCCCAGGCGCTAGCTCTGGGCTGCTCTGGGTGTGGCCAGAAGT